GCTGGTCGTTGGGCACCGGCTGCCATGGGCTGGAGGGGTTGGGAGGCACCACTAGTTCTCAGACCCCTGTAATGGGCAGCTAGATGGAGTCAGTGGTATCGCTGGCCCTCAGGTCCCCGGTGTGGGTAAGGCCCCTTCCTAGGGAGTGGGTGGAACAGTGTCGAATGTCACAAATCTACAGAACCCCCTAGACTGCTGAAGGTGATAATGGGCTTCAAGTGTATGCTCTGCTGCTTTTATGCTAATGAGGGCATGTAATGAGGGTGTGCAGTATTGAATCAGCCCACAAGGGACTGCGCATGGGTGAGGGGTGCTGCAAGCCCGTGGATGCCCTATACCCGTGGCTGGGTGAAGGGGCAGGGCCTCATAACAGGCCCTGAGTTCCTGGATTAGGGGGCATGACATGGATGAATGTTGCGGGACTGGTGTTGCAACAGCCTGGAGGTGATTGAGGGGAAGGAAGTGCTTCTCTGCTGTGAAGCTCTGGGCAGAAGGGGTTATTTTGCCAGTGGATGGTATGATGGGAGCTTGCACTTAAGTTTCACAGGTCTGGTGTCACTCTTGTTTGGTTCCGGAGGTGTGTGCAGATTCACTGCTGCTTGGCTGCACCAGATGTGGTGGGCCTCGGCTTAGGATGATGCTACATGCCTCAGCCCGTGTGCACTGTGCAGACTCAGCTTGCAGGGTGCCAGTGAATCTGCAACCTGTAGCTCCTGGTTTCTGCTACTTTTGAATTGTCTCTCCTTCCACCTGCGGCTCAGTCCATTTCTTCAGTGTTGTCTTTGATGATTAGGATTCCTAGATTGTCATATATATTCAATTCACTTGTTTCTTCAGGTCTTTGTTGTAAGATGGACAACAGGAAGCGTCTGATTATTCTGCCATCTTGGCTGCACCTCTGCATTGGGTTTTAATGGCTGATTTTTCAGAAGCAGATCACTAGGTCTTTCTTCCAAGGCACCCCGGGTGAACTCAAACCTCCAACGTTCCAGTTAGCAGCCGAGCTCTTAACTGTTTGTACCATCTTGGGATTTTGATATTGCTATGTATTTCTAAATGGAGATTCAAAGTGATTGTACTAATTTACATTCTTACAGGGAAGAAGATAAACTGGTTTCTTACATTCTTGCCAACAGTTAGTAGTTTCATACATTTTTTTCCAATTCAGTGGTTGTGAAATTGTATTTATTTTTTAAAATGTACATTTCCTTAATTAACAGAGAGACTGAGCATATTTTCATGTGTCTATCAGCCAATTTGTTCCTCTTCTGTGACATGCTAGTTAGTTTTCTTTTGCTCATTTTTTTACAAAGTGATTGCTCTTTTATTGCCTTTTAAACTTATTTGTGTGCATTTAAAAATATACTCTGACTGCCAATCCTTTGTTAGTTATGTGTAGCAAATATGTTCTTCCATTTTATGCCTTTTTAAAAACCTTTGTTGTTTTCTTTTCTCACATAGAATTTTATAAATGTTAGTATAGTCAAATTTCTCAATATTTTCCTTTATGACTATGCTTTTTTGTTTAGTATAAGAAATTCTTCTCTTTCTTAAAGTACTAAAGGTAATTTATATTTTCCTTTAAATGTTTTAAAGATAAGCTTTTCACATTTAGGTCCTTGATTCATCTGAAGTGTGTATGTGTGTGTGTGTGTGTGTAATAAATGGTACTGATGTTAAGCTCATTTTATATAAAAATTTAGACTCATTTCTTCTTTTCATTTGCTCTGGAATAGTTAATTAATCTGGATTTTTTTTTTTTTCCTTTAAGATTTAGTAGAATCACAATGTGAAACTGTGAGGGCAGTGCTTCGTGTAGCGTTTTAAAAAAGTCTTCTCCACTTTTCAATTCACTAGATACATTAAGATTTCTAACTCTTCTGGAATCAGTTTTGATAAATTTTAAGTTTTCTTAATCCATTTCATTCAAGTTTTCAAATTTAATTGTATAGTTAGAGAATTGTTCTAATTTTTTTAGATCATTGATTATTTCTTCCATATGATTGATAATTTTTGATATATTTTCCCATTTTCTTAAGTTATTGACAGTTTATTTATTTATTGTTTTCCCCCAACCAGATTTTTTAACTTAATTACTGGCTGTATTGTATTTATGTTTTTATAATTTATTACTTTCTTTTTTGCTTTATTAATTTCTTTCTTCTGCTTGAGCTTTTTTTATAGTTCTTATCTTACCTTCTTGAGTTGGATACTCTTGTTTTTGTTCCTTTTTGTTTATTA